GCAAATTTCTATATACTTGCTCACTTTAAATTTAGGAGATCTAACCCCGACCCCAAAGCTAGTACAGAGAGCAAAGAGCTATTGGACCCATAGGGAAACATAAAGCTCGGGTACGTGGTCTCTACATTCTACATCACTTGTAGGACAGATTTGGAGCATGCACATCTTTGTGACAGGGAGGAAATAACACCACTAGCTTTTATTATCATAATGGAAGTAGGCAGGTGAGCAGATTTTGCACTTGGTAATTTTTTGCTGTGTTTTTTGCAACAAGCTTTAAAAGACATTGATGTTGCAGGCGAGTCTTAGAATCAAACAAAAACACAGAAGGGAACATTTTCAAATGAGCCCCAATCTCTAGCCTGCACCACTGCAACTCATGCTCCACCATGCTTCTGAAAATAAAACTTAAGACAAGCATCTCAGCAACTAGCAAATGTAACCCCGAAAGTCTAAATTAGAGCTGACATCCACCAAATGAGCGTGCTGCGATTGTCGGTGACTCCTACCCATGCATGAAGCTGTGTTTCATGTGCACTACAATGTGTTCATGCAGCATTTTCAACCGTTAGAGCCTGACTCAGCTGCTGACTGATAAATAGGCATGATGTAGTCTTGCAAGGGCATAAATACCCTGAAGTTAACGGGATTTGGGGATGATTAAAGCGAGGCAGATTTGGCACATACTACACAGACAAAAAATGCAAATGACTTACTGTCTTCTGGCAGCCTGCAGAATCTTCTGATGTAGGCCCGATTCTAAAAAGCACTTAAGCACATGCTTACTTGTAATGACTTCATTGGGATTTGAGCATGTGCTTAAAGTGAAAAACATGCTTACGTGTCTCGGGGCTCAATCCAAAAACCATGGACGTCAGTGGAGATCTTTCCATTGATATTAGTGGGCTTTGGATTGGCTCTTGATGAAAGGGAATGGGAATACTCATGGGCTTATAAGGAAGGGCGCACTTAAGTGCAGGGGCAGATATAGGGCAGGGCGAGCGGGGCAGCCGCCCCGGGCCCTGCACTTCAAGAAGCCCCGTGCATGCGCCGTGGCAAAGGGGAACCCCGTGAAATTGTGCTGCCCTGGGCCCCACAAAATGGTCATCTGCCCCTGCTTAAGTGTGTTGTTGAATTAGTCCTACTCCTTCACAATGCTGCATAGCTGTGTTAGAGAGTGCTGATTGCTAGAAGTAGTGGGTAAAAGGTTTACTCTTGGAACACAAGAGATTAGAATGCAAATAGATTTACAATAAACATTACTTGTTCCCCAGATAATTGCATATTTTGTGGCTCCTCTTCCCTTACTTATCTGATACACAACCTAGTTGGCCACCTGCCAGCCTCCTTGCCATCTTATTATTTCAGTTTTGTTTAGTTAAAAATCATGCCCCCCCTCTCCCTTCCCCTCTGTCTGGGCTACCCACGGTGACCATGGTAACTATCAATTTGTGAATCAGCTAGTTTGATCCTCAAGCTTTAGCAATAACTTAAGCAGCGTTGTGTGGTATCTTCAGTCAAAAGTAAAAGGCAGGGGAGTTGTGTGCAGAAAAAAAAAGAGCAATGAGGATTTATTTTAGACTAATAACATCTTACAAATATATTGGGAGTTTCAGCTGAAGTATCCCAAAACAGCAGTCTTTTGGTTCTGAGTTAGTCAACTCCCATTATGCGAGGTGCTGGACAGAGGCGCTCACGTTCTGCCCAATACAAATCATTTATACTAATAAAATATTAGAGACCAGCCTGAAGCAAACCTCTGTGTCTTGAATTCACTGGTGCTCTGGAAAAGTTTAGGATCCAGTACACAACCACCTGGCAGAGTGCATCCTGTCCCTCAGAGGCCTGGGCCTTCTGCTGGGACTCCAGGAAACCGCTCCTGTGATGCTGTGTGTCAAAAATTTAGTCCACAATTTTCAAATCTGGGTACCTAAAGTGAGGCTTCTAGGTAGATATTTTTAAGCCCGAAGGTTGCTAAGAGCACCTGTCCCACTAATTTAGGTGAAATGGGTGCTCCTAAATCCCTTGGGCACTTTTGCTACTGTTTCCCCTAAATCCCATATTTAGGCTCATAACCACAAGTGGCCTGGTTTTCAAAAGCTGTTGCTGCTCTCAGTGATGGTCCTTGGGCCAACGAGCCATGTGACAAAATCATAGAAATGGAAGGCTGGAAGACACCTCCAGGGGTCATCAGATCTAGCTGGAGGATGTCTTCAGAGAAGCCACTATGGGAAAGCAGAGGGGCAGGTGGCTTGTACAGAAATTTGGCCCAAAGTAGATATTGTTGATTAGGGATGTTCAACAATTGGAAACAAAGGGACATGCGAACCCTATGCCTTCTGAATTGTTTGCCATGAGCATTTTTGCTGAGAGTGAATCCTATGCTGCCTGAAAATTGCCTTTCTGATCAAAGGAAGAAAAGTCCATTGTCTTCAGAAGTCCTTTATATGTTATTTAATACTTGTAGTATCTAGCAACAGGGGAGTATCCCTTTAAATAGTTTGCAAGCCCCTGTGGGGTGCTTACCATGCTCTCTGTTCTAGAAGTGGCGAGAAATCAAGCCGAATAGCAACCTGTGTCTGTCGTGAGGCCTCGCACGCTGTGGTTAGTCAGTAAACACGATGTGTTCCCCAGTAGTTCTGTCGTATGTTCTGCAAGAGCAAAAGTCATAGCGATCGTCTCACCCCTAGGCCCCTCCCAGCCCTCACTGATTATGTACCTCCATGGGGTCTGCGGTTGGTTTGTCAGGTGTTTGGCATCTTTCTCGGGGCACAGCGGCATTGCAACAAAAGCCCTGCAATGAGTCTCAGCGCCCAGCTGGTCAATGGGACACGAGAGCACACTGATGTTTGGGCTCAGGCTGATGTGAAACCCCGTGAGGGGAGTGGGTCTCAGAGCTTGGGCTGCGGCCCGTGAGCCTGAGTCGGCTGACCCAGGCATGGAGACTGGTGGGCACGGATCGTCTATTGCAGTGCAGATTACTCCGCATGGCTGCAGACAATGCCTCGTTTGCAGTGCCTATGGGCTTGGCTCACCATTGAGTCGGATGGGAGTGCCGTTTGACAAGCACCAAGTGCTTTTGTAAGTCCCATGCCAGGTGCATGGAAAGTGTTACAAGGCCTAGTCTTGGTCCCAGCAGTATCCCAGCCAGATGCCGAGCTGGGGGTGGGGAGGACAGCACTGTTACCTACCTGCATAAAGCATACCAGGACCCCTAATGGCACACCATTCCCAGGAGCGGCGGCACAGGGCAGTTGTCAGCCCTGGGAAACCATGCTGGGGAAGCATCCAGCATCCCTATAAGGCCAGGCTCTTTCCTGGCTTATGGAAAGGTGAGGAGAGGTCTCAGAGGGGTAGCCATATTAGTCTGTCAGCTTTTTAAAAAAACAAATAAGTGTGGCACCTTAGAGGCTAACAAAAATATATGTATAGTACCACGAGCTTTCGTGGGCACAACCCCCGTCTTCAGATGAGATGGGGGAGAAAATGCATGGGGCGTAGTGGCAGCGGAGATGAGGCCCTCAGGCTGTCCCCTGAGAACTGGAGGGGAAAGCCCCTTAATGACACCTCCTCCCCACCATATAACAAGCTCATGATTATTTCAAGAGGCTCGGACCCTCCTCTTCCTCTTGTTCCCATCAGAACCCTAGAGCTGTGGTAATTTCTGCTCCTTCTGTGTCTGGTGTGTTGATGGGGGCTGGGCCCTGGGGGAGGGGTCTAGAGCTGCTTCTGAGGGGAGCCCCTTTCCACCTCTTAGAGACTGGCTCCACTCTCCTTCATCTGCCATCCCAGAACTACTGGGGCAGTCCTACCAAGCAGGCGGCTGGGTGTAGAGGGAGCATATGCAGCCTGTTGAGGCTTATGAGGCCTGGGCTGCCACATAACAGGCTTCAGGCCTATAAAAAACAAGCTTAAAGATAGTGGATGGAATAAAATTATAGTGGTACCATAAAAACATATTACTCTTTTGTAATAGATAGTAAGAGCCTGAAAGTCCACAATAGGGTCTGTCATCAACCCACTCCATCCAGCACCCTCCTGGGATACTGAGGAGAATTTGAGAAACGAGCACCCTGGACCAGATTAAGATCTTTGTAATCCCTGGGCACTCTCCTAATTGTAGGCCTTTAAATTAGGTTATATATAAATAGATAAGGAAGAAATGCACTATCACCTATACGCCTAATATTTAATTGTATTTTATACCTGTAGATTGTTTTGTTGACTAAAGATAGCAAATTATTAAGTTTGATTTAGCAGTTTTCTTATTTTCAAGTCAATTGTGAATTTTTTTGAGGTCCTAAATTTTTTATAGGCCCTAAACTTAATCCGGCCCTGCGAGCACTGAGTATCTTCACTTGAATCCTGGGCTCCCATCAGCTCAGACCATCTCTGTTGACTACACTACGTCTCTGGGCCTGATCCCAAAGGGTATGTCTACACTACTCCGCTAGTTCGAACTAGCGGGGTAGTGTAGACATACCCATAGAGAGTAGAAAGCCCTGTGGTGGGAGAATTCCAATGGAGTAGCATTTCACGCCCACTTTGCAGCGTATACCCAACCAACCCTGGGTCAGACAGTGGAGAATCAGGACCAATATGCAAGGGAGTATTTTGTTTTAATCGCTGAGATAGCTCATTAAGGCAAACTCTGGATGTTTCTTCCTACTGTTTTTTCTGCTCAATGCACCAATCCTCTTCCCATTCCTCCATCCCAAGTCAAAGGCCTTGTATTGCTCTGTCTGTTTAATTTACTTTATTCAGCAAGACGTTTTTAACTCTGGGGCAACATCAAAATGACCCCGTATTGATCCCATACTGGAAATACTATTCTAGAGTTCCAATAAAAGTGTGTTAATAGTTTCATAGGGCTTTGCCGTTTCAGTGACTTCATTTCTCATTATTTCTACTTGGGCCCATGTAAACACTTCCAAGTTGCTGTAAGCCCAACTAATTAAAGAGTCTAACAAGGTTTCATTGTTTTGATTTTTGTTTTCTAGCATACTCGACCAAACTCAACAAATTTCCTGTCTTCAATTTTGACGACGACCTGAAGTATCTGTGTATCAGCGCGGTGAGCCCGAACACTACGAAAGCTACTCTCTATGCTCTAAACGTGTGGAGATACTGGTGCATGACAAAAGGACTTAAAGACTACATGGACATCACTAAGGTAAACATGGTGAAATCATTAATGACCAGTCCTCTGGTCAAGTCAGACTGGTGCACGAATGGGAGAGACAAAGATGAGAATTGAAACCTTCATGATCTCAGTATTAGGGGGCCAGCCCAGTCCCCAGAATAAGCCTGTCTAATCAGACTTCTCTAATTTACACCTTGTTGCCTCCAGCCCCTTGGAGCTGTTCCAGCAGCCTGGGATGGCCTAGGTACAGGGGACTTCTGGCCACACCCTATTTTGCCTGGCCACACCCCTTGTGCTTGCAGCCCCAAGATGGCAGGATATTCATGTCCTTGTTCAAAGAATATACAGGCAACCCCCCACTTGTGACGCGATTAGTTCCCGGGAAAGCGTTGCAAGTCGGGGGCATCGTAACTCAAACCCTCATTGACAATAGGCACCGTGCACCGTCGTAAATACGGGCCAAGGATGTAAGTCGGGAATTTTCGACCCTTCCGCACTTTAAAAAATAGTTGTCAGTGCGGGGAGTTGCAGCTTGGGCGGTCGCAACTCGGGGGTTTCTTGAATATATATACATTTTATATATATATATTTTAATCTAAGGGGCTTTATTTCTCTCTTCGAGTCAGGCAATAAGGTTCCAGCCGTGCAAGCATTTAAGCATGTGTTTGACTTTAAGTCCGTAGTTCTACTTAGATGTTTCAAGGTAAGCACGTGCTCTGCTAGAATGGGCTCGAAGTAGTTGTCTTGTCTGAAGTGATACAGAAAACAGTAAAAATAACCCTGAAACACGGATAAAAATCCACTCGGTGACCAAAGCGGTAACGGGGACTTTAGATACCCGCACTTAGCGCCAGTGGGGCTGACAGCTTCCTTGGGCCTCTGGGTAAGGTGTGTGCACCTGGAAGGAGTGGGAGCTCGGTCGAAAGGGTGGAGCTGGAGCTAGCCTTGGGGCTCCAGCAGCGATTTAAAGAGCCCGGGGCTCTGGCCACCACCGCTTCTGCAGTTGTAGCAGTAGCTGGAAACCCCGGACTCTTGTGAATCACCTGCCCCTGGGGCAGTTACCCCTTTTGCCCCTCCCCCCTGCCGTCTGCAGGCCTGCCTAGGACAATGGTACAGAGTTGAGACAGCCTTACAGCTGATCCAATGGAGCGCCTGGAAGATGTGTCTCAGCAGCCTGCTGGCTGGTTAAGGGGAGGGTTTTGTCTGTTGTTGATATGGATGACAATGTGCGTTGGGCATCTGAGGCACGTCAATGGCATCCCAAGGATGGGATAGAACATTAGAACGCCAAGGACTGCTTGTCCCACTGCTGCCTGTAAGGCCAGGAGTGTCTGGTTTTGGTTTCAAAGGTGCCCATTTTAAGGAGGTAGCTGCCCTTTGGGCTTGCATCTGTTTGCATCATTTATAGATGTGTTTGCAATCCAGAAATGGAAATGAGAGCCCTAGAATCAGCTCTCTGCAGGCAGGTTAGCAGAGTCTGATTGCAAGTATGACACATGGTGGCCCAGATAAGGGCTTGTGATCACAGACAAAGGGCCCCTGCATGCTTCTTAATTCTGTGACTCTAGGAATCAAAGGCAATATTGTACATCCATCCCGCCTGTTATCGCAAGCATCTCATTATAACCAGCTTAAAGCTTTCCTTTAATTATGAGGTTTATAGAGGCTGTAAGTATATCTCAGTGGAAAGGAGGACTGGAAAACTTCTGTGGCTAGAGCTTGAAAGGGAAAAATGTAGAATATAAGGCAGGCATTGTACAGGTTAAACCTCTCTAGTCCAGCACCCTCAGGACCTGGCTGGTGTCAAACCAGAAAATTTGCTGGACCATGTGAGGTCCATATTGTCTAGCAGCATTACCAACACTTCCACTGCTTACTGGGCTCTTAGTAGACATATAGGGGTAACTTAGAGCTAAATAACAGCACAGAACATTGAGAGCCAGGACTGGTGGCTGTAAACAAACTTTATGAGATCGCAGGAAACTCGGCCACACCCATGATAAGTGGACACCCTGCTAACTAACATCATGCCGGACCACAGATGTTGCAGGACCAGAGAGGTTCCACCTGTGCTTCTAACATCAGGATATATTCATGTCAGGTGAAATCCTGATCCCAGTGAAGTCAAAGGCAATACTGCAAACTGCCATTGACTTGAATGTGGCCAAGATTTCACCTTCTGTTGCTTCAGTTGCTGGGGTTGGCTTTCTGGTGTTGTAGTAGGTGGGGCCTCAATAGGGTGACCCAGATATCTTGATTTTATAAGGACAGACCCAATAGTTGGGACTTTGTCTTATATAAGCACCTATTATTCCCCACCCCCATCCTGATTTTTCACCCTTGTAATCTGATCACCTAAGGACCTAAACATCAGAACCTGTCAGCTCTCTCACCTCACATTAATCCTGGTGCCCTAATACCGACGAGGTCCTCATCTCCCCAAAGCTCCCTAGCAGGGCAGTGCTAAGGACCTCCACTTTTTTATTCTATGCCACCTTTTTTTCTCCACATAGCCTCATTTCCCATTCCTATTTGTACAGCTTCTATAGCTTTGTATTCTCTTTGTAGTGATGCAAATACGCACCCTTCCTCTTCCAAAACAGCAAAGTTACTCCATGTGTGTCGGGAAGACAGGAGCATGTTGTATCTTGCACCCTTCTGTGCAGAGTGTAAAAATGATCTTGAACTTGGTTCTTCCCACTTAGTAGCATGTTTTATTGTCCAGAAGCAGGCTGTCTTGACAGCTAGAGAATAGAAATGGGCCTATACCACAGCTCTGGATCCAACGAGCGCTACGCTTTGGAGAAGTTTGAATCTGGATCTAGCTCCAGAACTGAAGTTCTCTGCTGGTCAATGGCTCAGACCTATAGCCTAGATGGGAATGTCACTGCTGTTTGGGAAAATTTGGCTCTCGATCCAAACTTATCAGTGCAGGCCTGTCACTGATAAAGAATTCAATCCCATGGATATAATAACACTGACGTTCGTATTTTGCTTGTTGCAGATCCCAGCTATGAAGCTGAATGAACTCCTTGAGGACTTCTACATTACTGTGAAGAAAACAGATGGATCAGACTTCCTAGCCACGTCCCTGCATGCTATCCGCCGAGGCCTGGACCGGATTTTGAAGAATGCTGGGGTGGGATTTTCCATCACCAGCAGCACCTTCACTTCCTCCACCAAAAAGCTGAAGGAGAAACTCCGGGTGCTCAGCAAGGCTGGGATGTCTGGCGCTCGCTCTCGCAACATTGTTTACTTCTCCCTGTCCGATGAAGAAGAGATGTGGAGAACGGGATGCTTGGGTGATGAGAGTCCAGTTGCTCTACTGTCCACTGTGGTGAAATACAACAGCCAGTACCTCAACATGAGGACTTTGCAGGAGCATGCAGACTTAATGTACGGGGACATTGAACTACTCAAAGATTCGCAAAACAGGCCCTTTTTTGCCCGAACAGACAGTGTAAAACGAGAACACAGGGTGAGCTCCAACAAAGTGTGTTATGGCCAGATATACCACGAGCACTCCAAAGGACACAAGTTGTGTCCCTACTGCCTCCTTTATAAGTACATGTACATCCACCGGCCCCCAACCCAGATGGAAGCCAAGTCTCCTTTCTACCTGACTGCCCGGAAGGAGATTAGCGGCATGGGAAACGTGTGGTACGAGGAACAAAGGATGGGTCTCCGCTCCCTGAGGGGGGTTGTCCCAAAGCTGGCTAAAAAAGTCAAACTTGACCACTGTGAAAACTTCACTTTTGTTTCATTCACTCAGGCTTCCAGAAAGTTTGGCTCTCTGAACTCCTATCAACAAGTCTGACATCCGTGTTCCAACGCCATCCATTTGTTCAGTCAGTTGGACAAGAAGGGGACTTCTTTCAGTAGCCAGATCTCTATAGACATCAGAAAGATGCTGACCTGCTAACAACTCGCTTTGATCCTGATTGAAGCAGCTGCTACTGAGAAAAAAATGAGCTCTTTTCCAAATGAATGTTAATATATATTCTATTACGGAGACAATATACTGCAGCATATACAAGAATACTACAAGAGTGAGGAAATCAGTTAATTACAGTGCCTTTTAGCACAGGTTTTTCTCAACAGCTACCACGTTAAATTGGTCCAGAAATAAAACTCCCAGTAGGTCAGTAGCTTTAGTACATTGTGAAAAAAGTAAGTTGCTATTGAATAATAATTTTCAGAACTGGAAAGAGAGATTGGCAGATACATTAACTATTTCCTGGGGAAATATTGTTTTTTGTTTGGTTGATGGATAGAGCCTACTTTGGACAAGTAAGCAACGTGACGTCAGGGAAGATCCTGCTTATGGCAGCTCTCTGTGGTGGTTGTCACCTGCTCTCCATTGTCAGCTGGGGCAATTTTATGAAGTCAGATTCATGTACAAACAAGCTTTTGAGAACTATATGTCCCACGCAGTGGGTGACCTGTGCGATCGTGGGTTTTTCTCCCAAGTCGGGCTTGGATGAAGGGAGCTATTATCAAAGACTGGTAACTCTTGAAGCAGAAGTGCCTATGTTTTATTTCATAGTTACCATACAAAGGTTATTTTCTTGTGAACCGTTCTTAGATTTTTCCCATCTGGGTTTCATACCATGAAGATGGATATTTTTCCAATATACAGCAATTTACACTGGATCTGTAAATATTGCTAGTGGTGATTCCTGGATTTATTGAACAACAAACAAACATGGTTACAGCATCATCTGAGGACAGCTTTTTCAGACATTCATTTATAAAGTTAAGTCTTCATTCTTAGAAAATGCCAACTAGTGATTTTGGGTGCCCTGCTTTTGAGACCCCCAAAAGGATCTGATTTCAGAGGATGCTTACTCAGCATTGTCTGAAAGTCAGGTTCCTTTAAATTGTCTCAAGTTGGGCACCCAAACACTCAAAATCACTAGTCATTTTTGTAAAATTTTGGTCTAAACTTTCAGGGTTCAATCCAGCTGCCATTAAAGTCAATGGGAAGATCCCTATGGACTGAAATGGGAGGCTTAGCGAGTCCTTATGTCATAAGAAGATACATCATGGAAGACCTGCACCTATTTTAGGGAAGTCGGAGTTTTACCATGCATGGCTCATTGTTCTAATACAAATGATCCGGCTGTCATCTTCCAATATATCACAAAGCTGTGACATTATTATGGAATCAGGGGACATATCAAGCAAATGACAGAAGCATTTGTATACCAAGATTGTGTTACGCCTTTAAATCATAGCTCAAGACCTATAGTTACGTGAATACAAATAGTAAAAAAAAAAATCTGGCTTTATTTTTGGAAGATTCACCCTCACGTTGCTAGTACATTTCTAGCAAGAACTTGATTTCTAGTATGTTAATTATCCATGAGTTCTAAAATATAGTTTTACTTTTGTATTTTAAATGTGTGCGCACAGCATTAAAGGTTGTTTTAGTTTTAAGAAAGTCATTCACTGGATCAGGAAAGCTAGAGCAGCGTTAGCAAGGGAAATATTTGTCATAAGCAGTGTAGCTTATTTTCCTCCTTCTGTTCCTTACTAAGGACCTGATCCTGTAGGGCCCAAGTACCCTTCACTCCCACTAGTCTGCAGGGCGAGTTGAAGATGTTCATGACTAGTCATGATCAGATTCCTAGTAAATGTAGTGGGAGAGCTGTTAGGACCTTTGGTTACGCTGTTTTTCTTTCAGAGACGTGTACAATGTAGCGTGATGTATATTTCGGAGTACTGTTGGTGCTGATGTCTAAAAGAAAACCTGCATTTCTCTAAACACTGTACCTCTTCTGAGTTTACATCATTCTCTTTTATTTGGCTGACTCTGGGAAAGGGAATTTCAGATTTGTCAGTTCTCTGAAGCTAATCTTCATGTAGGAGTCTGGCCCGTAAGTGACTGTATATGCAGTTACGCTGTAGCATCACAAAGGCATTATAGCAAATAGCTGGACATTACTGGAAAAAGCAAACGCTCTATTTATATAGTAGGGTTATTTTTCCTTTGAAAGAGTTTTTTGTTTTGTTTTGTTGTTTTTGGCTCTCATATCCACCTTGCACCTTTTGTGCAGTCAGTTGCGCCTCTACACAGTCAGTGCAAAATACTGACAGATTAGTAGCATAGTACACCTCTGCCCAGATAGAAATGGTACCCCAAGGTTCAGGGCAGGGCTGAAGAATTTACTCTTGGAAACGTCAGTTTTAATGGCAAAGTTTTCAAATCTAGGTGTGTAAAGTCCAGCTTTTCAATCCACAACCAGCACCTAACTCGGTGGCCTAATCTTCAAAGATACTGCACTTCTGCAGCTCCCTTGAGAGCTGATGTTGCTCTGCAATTTCCAGGATCAGGCACTGGGAGAAAACGTCACTATTAAAAGTATTAGGGGAGAGATTTCCAATTGCACAAAGGGACAGTAGGTTCCCATTGACTTTCACCTAATTCTCCTTTTTGCCTTGGAAACTCTCACCTATGCAGTCTAGTTGCATTAGTGGAATGGAAGCTTTTGTTCTTCAGTTCTTTGCTTAATATAAAATCTGCGTTAGTTATAACTGAACACCAGTTTCTTTGCCCATTAGTGGATAAGGCTGAATATTTGCACTGAGCTAAATGTGACTGCTTATAGCAGAATTTGGTTAACATTTTGTTAATTCCCTTCAGAACTCCCTTGGGACAGAAAAATTGCATTTCATTACTGTGTTCTAGAACTCTCTCCATCAAGAGAAACTAATTCACAAGTATTATCTGATAAGGAAAAATCCTACTTCTTTGCTTTGAAAGTGATTAGTGCTAATAATTTTTTTTAGTACTAGTATAGATTTCTCCCTCCCCACACACTCATACAAAACTCATGGCATTAATAGCCATAATTTGAATTAAATGATGTTCCTCTGTCCTACCATGTGAACCTGTATTATCCAAGGAAAGTATTTATCCTGTTTCTGATCTGCTAGCAGTGAAGATAAGCTTTTTGTGTTTTGCAAACTTTGGTATTATCTACATTTGAAAAGCAAACAGAGCAGTAAAGGCCATATAAGCTCAAACTGGCAGTGAATCACCCAGCGTGTTATCCTGCCTTTAGCCTATCCATCTGATACCTGACACTTCAGAGAACTTCACCCATAATGCCCCTGTGTACCACTAAGCTTTTTCTAGAGATTGTGTGAGAAAACGCTACCCTATGAACTGAAAAAAAAATTACCTAATGCTTTTGTGAAGGAAAATCTGTCTTGATCTTGTTTAACAATGTCTTTTTTTATGTTCTTATGTTAGACAGTTTTGTGGCTCTGTTCTGATTTATTATCAGTATTTGCTCTGAAATAAAAGCAATATTCATCTTTGCAAAATCTGAAAAGTGACTAAATATTTCAGAATCTCTAGGGGTTTTTAAGCAGAATCTCTAGGGGTTTTTTCTTTTGATAGTTTATAATCAATTTTAAAAAATTATTTGCTTATTCCCTAAAGTTTCTCTGTGGTACAGTCAGTAAAAGATTTTCATTTTGTCTTTTAACCTTTAGAATTAATGATACTGGAGCCACTGTTACTGATTCAAATAAATTTAATTTTTAAAAGTATCAAATATAGGCTCAGGTTATTGTTATTTGTGTTATAGTGGTGTATAGAGGCCTCATATGAGATTGGGGCTACAGGATGCTGGGCAGTGCCCATACATTGTCCATGTTGCAAATGGCTTGCAATTGAAATAGACAAGAAATGAGAAGTTTAAAAGGCACAGAGATTGGAACTGACTTCCACAAGGTCAGACCACAGATCAGGAGGAATAAAATCCAGGTCTCTGGAGTCACAATCTAGTGCCTTATCCCCTGGGCCATGCTGTCACTCTTGCATTTCTTCTGCATTCACAAAGTTACACTTCCCAAAGAATTTCAGGCCTGAGTGTAGCAGCAAATTAGTATCATTCTAGACCAAAAGCAGGAATAAATGGAAGTACTAAGATGGTATCAGAGGGGACTGCAATTTAATTTTTCCATGTTGATAGTGTTGCCAGATACTTTCACAAAAAATACCGAACATGATGGGGGAAAAAATTGGCTGAGGAAAAAAAAATGAACACAAAAAAAGAGTCACTACTGCACCTTGAAATCTCTATGCTCCATGCTCCTCCACCCCCTCCCAGACACGGCAGGGGAGGAATGTCCCATTTTACATGTCCAGTATTTTCTGTTTTTTTTTTTTTTTACTGGACTGTCCAGGCAGATACCAGAGTGTCCGGGCCAATACTGGACACCTGGCAACCCTACATATTGTGAGTCCAAACTCATATTAGATCAGTGAGGGACAACCTAGGCTAGTGAGGGGGTTGCATGAGTGGCCCTTCATCTCAGTGGGCCACAAGATTGTCGTAACCAAGACAGGCTCCCAGGATAGGGCAGTTTTGCTAACCGCGCTTGGGTACCTAGCATGTGTGGTGGCAGTGCTGATGGAACAGCAGGGCTTTGATTGGATGCAGCGGGAGTGCACGGCTCTCACAGTCACTGTTGGTACCTAGCATGTGTGGGGGCAGTGCTGATGGAACAGCAGTGCTTTGATTGGATGCAGCAGGAGTGCACGGCTCTCACAGTCACTGTTATGTGCCATCAGCATCCACCTCATTTCCCGTGCCCTGGCTTGACATGTGTATCATTTTACTAACACTAGTAGGAAAAAACCTAAGTGGCTGAAAACCAGCAGGATCTGGCAACCCTGCACATGGGCAACGGTAAACAAAGTGTCTTGTGGGCCACACATAGAACCCAAATAGCGACAAGCTGCATTTGTGCATCTGCTGGTGTTTGTGAAAGCCCCAGAGCTGGGCGCTGTGCCAGAGCAAGGAATGCGGAGCAGGCCACGGGTGAAGTTACTGCCCAAAAGCTCTGTTCCTTGGGAGACTGTGGTGCTGGTGCCGAGCTGTGGCAAGGAGCGCCCAGCACAAATGGAGTGGGGGGAAGGTGGCTTTTCACCACACTCCTTCCTGAGGCCGCTCGGATGCTGGGCCCGTCCCTGGCACCGATTAAGGTGCTTGCAGCCACTTCAATTTATCCTGGGTGCTGAGAGCCCCATTTGGCCCTTCCAGCAGCCAGAGATCATGGGGCACAGAGGCAACCAGGCCATACTCACTTTCCCGCCCAAAACAGGAAACCCCAGTGGCCTGTTAGGCTGGTTTCTGGTCAGCTTTGTGCTGTCACCGCATACAGGGGAATGCGTTTTAGGTTTCCAAAGGGCTCGCTTGCTCATATTCTGGGTTCTGCTCTGTGCTTGTTCAGAATGCTGCTAATGTAGACGCCCTTCAGAAAGTCAGACAGAAAGATCTTCAATGTATATTTCATGTGATTCCCTATGGAAAAGTTGCCATTAAAATTCCTCTTCTATCGCTGTATCCCCACAGGTGGCAAATGCTGACTTTTGAACCAAGGCCACTGCACAATGCTCTGCTTTAAAAAGGAGATGAACAAGGTTCATTTGTTCAGTGATTATTTTTTTTTAGTTTGCCCTCTTCCAAATCGATCGTCTTCGTTTCCTAAGGGCTGTGTCCTGCTCTTGATGTGTTGGGCACCGTGGTGACGGATTTCAAAGATCATAAGTGACTAGCAAGAGCCCTGTGTCTTGGGTGATCATCTTGGGGGTCTGATTTTTCCGAGAGGCCTGCAGATGGGAGGAGGGCGAAGTGGACAGCTGCCCTGGAGCTTGGCAATTCCAAAGGGCCCAGGGTTCCTGGCTGCCATTGCTGCTCCTGCAGCCCTTTAAATCCTCGCGGGAGCCCCGTGCAGCACTGAGGGGTGGCTGAGAGGGCGTGGCGCAATGCAGCACTGAGTGCTGGTGGCCCAAGCCCTGCCCCTTTTACCTGAGGCCACACCCCTTCTGGAAACAGAGCCACCCCCTTCCCCCACCTTATCCAAAGGCCCAGCAATTCTAACAACCCACCTCCCTGTTTTCAGAGAGTTTATTCAGGCCCTTCTCAAGTGTCTCAAGTAGGGCCCACCAACACCGAGATATCCAAATGCACTAAAGTCTTGGCAAGGCTGGGAATTACTCCCATTTCGGAGTTATGTGCATTAAACTCCTAATCAAGCTGGGATGATAGACCTAAGTGCTTTGTAGTCAAGAGATCTGGGTTTACTAGCTGAACTTCCTTTGCAGCAGCATGTTCTGGGAATCCTGAATCCTGATGACAAAGTCCAGGGGCTTTTAAGTTCCTCAGTGCCAAGGCACTAGGTCAACATGTATGTTATGCAGATTAGAGCACTATCTCTATTCCAGACGTGTGTTTGTCTCTGCACAGTGTTTCCTTTTTAAAGAGTGTCCTTTTGGTGGTTGGACATGCAAGGACATGATGCCAGGAAAGCATCTGGGTTGGTGTAGTGACTCCCCTGGGTCTAGATTAAAGCGAACCAGTGTTTTTAGTTTTGTTCCAGCAACTTGTTTTTTCAAGTTAATTTAAGAAATCCTGTCCGTTTAATTAAGAAAGCTTTTTGTTGTTTGGCAGCCTTTTAGACACTCAGAATGCTAATTTTAATCCTTCTTGTTTATTATTATTTATTTGCAATGTTGTTGTAGCCGTGTTGAGTCCAATTGAGGAGAGAGACAAGGAGAGTGAGGTGATAGCTTTTATTGGACCAAGGACACACTTCCCAGAGCAATCTGGATATCTTCTCCAGTCCTGAAGAAAAGCTCCGTGAATCTCAAAAGTTTGTCCCTTCCACCACGAGAAGTTGGTCCAATAAAAGATATCACCTCACCCAGATAGTCTCTATTATGCCTTATTTAGATTCTCTAAAAAATACTCTGCTGTTAGACAACTCAAAGCCTTCTGTGTGGCAGTGAGTCCTCATACAAGTTATTAACAACATACCAGCTCCCTAGACATGTGGAAATGTGTGTGCGGGGGGTACATATACTCACGTGTACCTGTCACCAAGAGCCAGAAGTAACAACGTCTAAGTTCATTGTATAAGACAGTATAATGGAGTAAATGCTGTTTGATGTAAGCAGAAGGAAATGAATGCAGAGCAGGTTAGAAGGGTAGCAAATGTGGGGAAGGAGCTGGGTTGCCAGGAGATTTTGACATTGATTTAAGTGGTGTTAACCAGAGATAAATTAGGTGAGAGTAATAAAAAGTTTGTTATAAAAATTAATAAGTAACTGGCAATATGGAAAAAGAGCATTTCGCTGATTGGCTGAATCTCCCCGTCAATCACAGTAGCAGAGGGGGGGTCAATTTTCCAAACATTCTATTTGAACAACATCTTTCAAATCCTCCAATCCGGATATCCTGGCTGATTGGAAATGACAGTTACAGGAAGAATTTAACATACAATTTATTTTCAGTAACACTCAGACGTTGCCTTTCAATCTAGTAATAAAACACAGAGTAGTTTATCATTTTCTTTCTGAAGCACATTTATCTTCTTTTTCACAGATATTCCATGATGCAAGGAAGAATTTCCATGCACACATCACTGCCCTCCTCCCAATCCCTGGTACTTGTTTTCTGTCTGACTCTTTTTCTCTCTGGCTACGTCTAGACTGCGAGCCTCTTTCGAAAGAGGCTTTTTCAAAAGATACTTTCAAAAAAGCTTCTTTCGAAAAAGAGCATCTAGACTGCAACCTCTTCTTTCGAAAAAGCGAGTCGCTTTTTCGAAAAAGAGCACCCACGCAGTCTGGATGCTCTCTTTCGAAAAAGCCCTGTTTGCATTCAAGAATGCCTTTTTTTGAAAGAGCACTTTCGAAAAAAGGCGTTCTTCCTCGTGAAATGAGGAGTACCGCCATCGAAAGAAAAGCCGCATTCTTTCTATTTAATTTCGAAAGAACATGGCTGTAGTCTAGACGCAGGTGAAGTTTTTTCGAAAAAAGGCTACTTTTTTCAAAAAAAACCCTGCAGTCAAGACACATCCTCTGTGTCTCTCACTTTCTCTCAATACAATGTAAGAGTCAAGGTGACAGATAGCTTCAAATATTATAGTTAGTAACACTGATTTTTTTAAGGAATAAATATATTTAATACACGGAGGGTTTTTTAAACACTCCTAGCATATTGACCTAAAATATTCTAATGCTTCTATTTGCTTCATGTGTATTTTACAAAATATATAGAAAGTGACCTAGACATTGCTTTCTGCTTTAATGCACTGGAAATCTTCCCAGTCCTACTTCAGAGCACAAGCAACCAATTAACATCACAAATGATTTTCTTGTATTTTCTTTGATTTCTCTCTTCTGCTCATATACTGACTCCTGATATGTGTATTCATTTATATCTATAACCTATTTCTGCACATTTCTACAGATGAGCAGGTTTGCAAGAAGGTGTGCTTCAGTTTTGGAACATGCCATTTAATCCCTCTATCCAGATGGGCGAAAATGAAAAAAAAAAAGTTAACGGTCTTATGGTGAAGGCGTCATCAAAGCCATTGAGCTAAAGCCTGGATCATTGCTTGTCTGTCTGTACAAGGGCTGCGAGCCAGATTTTGCCTTTAGCTTTGTCCATGGGGGTGTTGTGTGTGAGCCTGCAAAGGTATAACAGCTCTGCAGAGATA